TCTAATGTATTAACTATATTATTGTAAAGTTTCATCAAAATCCAATCAGTGGTTTTTGTGTACTAAGCTGTATAAGTTACTACAGTTTTTTGACTATCCCACGGAAACTCTTTAATTTTCCGGGATGAAAAGTAGCTGATTTGTTTTTGTCATGTATGAATTATATTGTTGTAAAGTATCATTAAAATCCAATCAGTAGTTTTTGTGTACTAAGCTGTATAAGTTGTTATAGTTTTTTAACTATCCCACGGGAACTCTTTAATTTTCCGGGATGAAAAGTATCTAAAATGTTGCCCGGGGATATAAGGTACCACCATGCAAAATTTCATTTAAATAGGTCCAATAGATCCGGAGATTAGCCCGTCAGTAGACAAAGAGAAAAACAGATAAACAGCTCGCTCGGGTTCGTCCATACATACGAATATGTTGTATTATCTCTTTAACCATTTGTCCAAATTATATGCAGTAAAAGGGAAAAGTCTTTTATTTTAAACGTTTTAGACGATAAATTTACTTATTTTGATAAGAATTCATAATTGTTGATAATATGACCAATAAACATGACCTACCGATTTAAATGATTTTTTTATTATAAAAAACTACTTTTTGTGACTTAAATATAAAAGTTAGACATATGCTGTCGCTGACTTTTTTGTAGGCATTATTAAGTTCTACAACTTTTCTCTAGAACATAATCATATATCTCTCATCGTTATTTGTTAGTTTTGGGTTGCAGCAATATAGGATTCACTGTAGACCGAAATTTTTTCCAGACCTCACCCTGGCTAAAATGTGAATCCAAATATTATATATATATATATATATATATATATATATATATATACTTATATATCTGACAATTTATACACATGCATGTAGCAATTTATACACATTACTCTGAAATCAAGCCAGTCGGCGTATCAGGAAGGTCGTCTTCTTTTTTGAAATGTTTCGTACGAAAATAATTCAGTAATTGGAATCCTTCTCGTATTGGTATCCAATTTTCACCACGAAGAATCTGCAAAATATTTATATAATATATATATATATATATATATATTTATGTATAATATAATTACTAGCAATTTGTCCTCATTTTACTCAGGACCTAACTGCACTACGTATCATCTTCGATAACTTTTAGGTGGTAACACGTCAGTGTTACAATGACTCTCTCTCAAAACCTCTAGACACCAGAATATTACACTTTTATTTTGTCGAGGTAACATAATGTATTATGTCACTTGTGCCCGAATTCACAATGCAGTATAATAATTAGAGCTCTGCTAAAATTATAATACAGTCTAAGAGAAAGAGTTTTTTTAATAATGGATACTTGAACAAGCCTAATACTTTCTTAGATTTACGCGAATATGTGACATTTTGAATAAAACTATTTTTTGGATTTTTTTTGTGATTTTATTTCAAAATGAATTCGAAATTAAATTCGAATTAAAGATTAAAAATAAAAAGCGTTTTATATAGTAGGTAGTTTGGAAGCACATCATCAATAGTTCATAGTGGTAGTATATTTAGAATGAAATGAAATAAAAATTTCAAATAGACTTATTACAAGCACTCAATTTAATAAGCATCAGTGTAGTCAGTCCGTGAGGAAGCTATCACGGGCTCGGAAAGCAGTTCTACTGAGAAGAGCCGGCGAGAAACTCAACAGTTGCTCTTTTAAATATCGAAGTTACCTTAATAAACATAATATTACAGATAACCCAGCATATGAGTCAATATATCTTAATTCCACACATTTTCATCAACAAGAAACTCCTGCTCTCTTAACGAAACTCTTGTACTCTTGCAAGATTCACTTTGCTCATTAAAATATTCTTTATTTTATCTTTAAATTTCTGAAAAGGTAAATATAGGACAGTTTGTAGGATCTTATTATATATGCGTATACTCAGGCCCATGAGGGATTTATTCACTTTTTGGACTCGAAAGCTAGGCGTAACAAAATTATCGTTTCCTAGTGTTTATTGTGTGTCTATCACTGTTTAGTGAATATTGTTTGTAATGAACGTGTATAATGCGCGAAGTTTTAACAATTTGAATATACTCACTTGTGCTGAACCTTCTGCATCACGGAGTAATATTAATGGGGGTGATCCGAATTGACCGTCAAGTTTTACTATTGGTCCGTATCGCTCGAATAATATATCAGCTATAAATTTTCTTTCGTGGTACAATGATTCTAAAAATTATATTACACTACTATTATAAATGTGCTATGTACATACGTTTGTTACTGTTAGTAATAAAATTAATCAAAAGGTGACACTACGAGCGAAATGAGGGTAAATCGCTAGTTTTAGACAATTTTAATTATTACTACCAACCAATTCTTATACACATATGTAATATATAATTTGAATAGTTTCCCATAGATTTAGTTAATAGATTTTCTATTACCAATATGGCATATTTTCAATGGCAAATATCAAGATTGTTTGAATGAGTTAAAAATGTTCTTAGATAACTAGATAGTTAATAATTAAAAAGCGGAAAAAATGATATATTTAAAAAAAGTACTCTTTCACTTTAGATATTTTGAGCAGTTTCCTTAATATAATCAATAATAATTCGAATGAATTCTACCATAGGCAAAAAATTATTTTCCATATATAATCTATATATTTTAATCTGTATATAATAATTTTAAATTTGCTTTAATTTTTAGTTTGAATTTTAAAGGTCTCGAGAATCGATTCTTGATACTTTAATGTAATAATGCATAATAAATAATACTCACTATGTGTAACTCAGCTCAGAGCCGGTTCAAATATTCAGTTCACAGTAGCTAGAGCCGTTGAGCTGCGGCTCAGTTGCTAGATAATCGGTTCACAGCTCAATATTACTTAATATGGCTCCGTGCATCACTTCAGCGCCACCTAACGTCAGCTATTTCGATGGACCCGAGCCGACGGACCTGTACTATAGTCTATAATCTATACTTTTTACAGACAGGTCAAATTAATTGTTTAATATTTTTTATTCTTATAATAATAATAATTAATTACACGCTCCGTGTTTTAAAATAATATTAGGATAAAATCTAAATATACTTTATTCAAATAGACTTTTACAAGCACTTTTGAATCGTCAATTTTACATTTTAAATTTTCAGTGTAGTTAGTTTGTGCGGAAGTTACCACCGTCTCGGAAGGCAGTTCTACTACTTAGTTTTATACAACAATAAACTAATATTAAGTAATAGTTTTATAGATTAAATATAAATAACTAGTTTTCGCCCGCGGCTCCGCTTGCGTGATACAGGAAACTACGGTAGTCGGTACCTACGTTAATTAAAGTAGGTAGGTACTCTATGTCCTTTTCTGTCTGTATTTAATGATAATCGGGATTCAGGTGAATAGTTAAGGCGTGAAAGCGTAACAAACAAACAAACTCACTAGCATTTATAATAATTGCATGAAATTAGCATTCCCCTATAATTGTGTAAGAACGAAAAAATATGACTATAATAACTTTTTTCGAAATGCTGCTTTATTACATACAAATATAATTTAGGTACATCATACATGTCATTTGTTTGAACAGAGTCATAAATTAGCTGTAAATCTATAGTTATAAGTACCCATACAACATCAATTGAGCTGAACTGTGAGCCGGTTCACAGCTCCGGTTCAAGCATATGACTCATGAGCTGACCTGCAGCTCATAAAAATTCATTGAGTTATCCATGTCTAAATAATACTACCTAGAGGTGTCAATAAAAACAATATCCATGCGGGGATCAAATCTCATATTCTTATGTCGAGCAATGCCAGCTATAAATGCTTTCTATTGCACTCTGACAGATCAGATTCTTAGGTGTGATACGACTTATCCGTTAAAAAATTATTATAGAAGCATGTTATACTGCAACTTATTTTAGAAAAAGATTGTATTTTTTATTATTGCAGCAGTTGTGGTATTGGTGTCGCGCATACTTGGAAAACCAAGTGAAGCAGGTTCAAATCCGGTATTTATTATATCCATAATTTCACAGCTTTTAATATTTTCACGCGTGAATCATTTTAACATGATTAAAATTCGGTGAAGGTAAACATCTTGAGGAAACTTTCGTGTTTGAGTAAGTGTAAGTACTTCTTGATAGAAATGAGAAGCCCATCAACTTGAATAGAGTTTTTACAATGAAAGCTCGGTTTCGTCTTTGTCTATTTTGCAATCGTTAGATGCATCTAAAGAAGATTTTTTATTAACCGACTTCCAAAAAGGAGGAGGTTCTCAATTTGTCGGAATCTTTTTTTTATGTATCTTCACCAATTACTCGAAGACGTTTGAACCGATTTGGTATTTTTTTGTTTCAAAGGATATACTGGGTACTTCCCACGTGATCCATAAATTATTTTTTAAATAAATTGTTTAATCGAATATGTTATTAAACAACTTTCTTCTTACAAATTACCTGCTTTAGCCGACAATATTTTAAGATATGAATATCTAATAGATAAGGGTGAATCTTGAAATCGGGCGTATTCAGATGATTCCTCTGGCGAATTTTTTATCTAATTATTATTTACTTTTACATGCAAAAGTTTAAATATAACATAATTATAAACACATTTATCAAATAGGTATCACTGTAACTAGTCTCGTTATAAAGATATATGTGATTTAAATTTTTGGTGGCAGGGGAGTCAATAAAAGGTGGCAGGGGAGTCAAAATTATAGCTATTTTATATGTTTTATTTAAATTTTAAACTAATCAGTCTTTTGATTTCAATATTTGGACTTTACCCTTAATAAATAATGATAATAATTATAACTCAAAAACAAATAAAATCATATGATAAACAATGTAAAATAAATAAAAAATGAGTTTACATTCTAAATGAACAAACAATTTTCTAAAAAATATTATAATCAGAAGAATCTGAATCTTCATCACTATAGAGAGCGGATAGTACGACTTTAGTCATAGAAGATGTGATTAAGTTCTCATTCATTGATGGGACATCACTCTACAAGCTGTCATCAGATGGTACATTATTAATCTCAAATTGGTTACTCTGGATTGAAGTTCCGGCCAGCCGATAGTTCGGGCTTGAGTTAGCAGTAATATCAATCTGATTTTCGTTTATTGCGGTCTTTTTTGATATCATAGTTTTAGGGGTACTAGTGTTCTCCAAAGTTATACTTCGGATATTATAGAAACCGATATGTTGTCCATGGGGACAATAATTTGATTCTTCAGAACATTTTTCTAAATTACAGATAAGGTGTCTCATGGCTAGGACCTTAGGATTATTACAGGTCCATATCGTTTGATGAACTCTCATGGTGCCTCGAAATTCTTTTAAATCAGAGGGAATTAATAGTTCCGTCTCCAAAATGCCAGATTCGTGAACTTCCATTATACCCTCGGATATTTGAATTTGAAGGTGACTAATAAGGAGATCAATATTTGGAAAATCATTCCCTACAGCAACAATCCGATCAGCTGCTATTTTTAATACTTCTCCCACACTATCAGGAGCTCCTTTGCCATGCCCTTTTTCCGAGTAATTCCAAACTACACGCTGTAAACTTTTATAGTCCCAATGAAGCTTAGCCATCACGTAGAACATTTTTCGGTTTCTATATTGAGCAGATGGCAAGTCTGATATAAAATGCAATATCTCCAGTACAGAAATGTTGCCGCTAACAAAGTTTAACACAGGAACCAAATGCTCCCAGATGGCGACAGCATCGTGTCTTAAGCATTCACTTAAAGTACAAAAAGATTTAGTACATAGCTCCCCATTTTGTAATTAGTAAATAACAGAGGTATGTAATGATACTCGTATCTGCTGTCGAGAACTACCAAAGTTATTTCAGTTTTGATTTCAAGTTCTTGATATAGTTGTTTTGGCAAACAATATTGGCACAGTGACTCATTTACTGTTTTAATAACCACTTAAAAAGCTCAATTATGACACTGTTCATATCAGAATCATCATTGTCTTCAATAATTATGTGTTCTTCAAGTTCTTTTAACTTCTTTAGCTTTTTTTCTGATTATATCGTTTTGAACTTTCTCTATCCCTTTTTATCATATTTTTTTGTTATCTTGGAGACATTTCACCTATTGGTAGAATTATTCCTTTACTCTTTTTGGTTAAATATTTTTGTCTTTCTTTTTCTTGTTGATTTGCTCGTAATACAGGATCACTTTTATTTTTTTCTAATCTTTGTCGCTCAGTCGCAGTCGTTTTTTCTCTAGTATTTCTTCTCTTGTTTGTTTTGGAGTCATTATTTAAGCCTGTAACTGTTGTTAAACCAACAAATAAATTAATTGACACCACTTTCATTTTTTTACATCTCATCAGTCTCCCTTCAACGAGAGCTCAAAAAATACTTTATTGATAATGTAACTACTAAATAATAATTTAAAATATAAGATTTTGTAGGAGAAAATAAGAAATAATACATTACCCTGGTACAACACTGGGGGAATCAACACCAATGGAATCAAAAAAAAGCACATTTTTTGTCGATTTTGTAAAAATCGAAATGTTTTGTCCAGAAGTAATAAAATATATAATTAATAACACTTTACTCCGTACTGTATACCCTAGTTAAGAAACCCTAAATTATCAAAAAACAATTTTAAATGTGGGAAAGGTAATCAATGACCTAATGAAACAAAACCAAGGGAATCAAATTCTTACCTTCGTATATCCAGTTTTGAGCAATGAGAAGCTTGACCTACCCTCACGATGTTTAAAGCGCGACTTAAGCTTGGCCGACAGCGCGCGCTTATACTCCCATGACATTCGTTTAGTGATGTACGAGTGGATAAATCACGCGCCAAGGGGATCAATGTTTGACCTCAGACAAACCAAAACTATTTTTTTTTATTTTAACTACGTTAAATATTAGACATTGTGTAATTATTTACTTATTTAAAAACTCTTCCATTAACGTTTAGATCAACACAATTCCTAAATTTCCTATTATACATTGGTGTAAAATTAATAGTTTGTTCCATGAATATCAAAGGGACAACCCAGGGGAATCAATTTTCAGGGCTTTAAATTTTTTTTTCACACATTATCAACTATAATACATTCGTTAACTAGCATGCCCCTAGTAGATCAAACATTAAACTAACAGCAAAAAATATTTAGATTACAATTTTTATACGTAACGGGTAGTTTTTCCCTCCAGACAATGTTAATTTAGTCTCTCAAGATTCACCCATAAATGTATATTTTACATATCAAAATGTATTAAATTTGCTTTGCATCGGCTGGCACCGACTTTGAAAATATCTGATTAGTTATCTATTATTATTTTACATTTTAGTGCCTGGAAGACGGTTTTTTTCTAGCAAATCTTCAAATATACTCGTCTTAAATCCGATTTTAATTATTTAGTAAGTAGTACCCACAAATTGAAGTTAGTTCTAGAATTAGTAGTAAACACAAATTTAAATTGAGTTTGCAATTCTACGTATTCTCATATACAACTCGTAGGTCACGTTTAGTGGCTGTGAATTAAGAAGTTATTAAAATAAAACTTTTACTGTATAGTTTTCCTCCAGGAAGGAAATGGTGTATCTGTCCAATGAGCGGTAAACTTGATGGACCAGGTATCTCACGCCATGATTTCAAGGCTTCATCATTCGTGGCGACAGTAGCATTTACTGTTACTGACCTGTAACCGACCTTTTTAGTAAATTATCTCACATATTAAAGGTACCTACACGAGATTTTTATAGTAAGTATTTATATTAATTTGGGGTAAACATCTTAAAAAAGTGTTAATGACAAACATACATTATTGTAGATACTATAATGTTTATTGACTCTTTAAAGGACAGTGCACAGCTTTTAAAAGTACAGGATTTACAATCATGACATTTTGCACAAAAAATCCTTGTGCAATAAAGGTGAGCAAATAATAAAGAATTTTTGAAAAGAAATTAACCAACGTCTTCGTTATTTAAAAAAATATTATATTTAAACACTAGAAAGACGATAAGGTACACATAGTTAAAAGCATGTTAAATTCAACCCTTTTTAACGTCCCACTGGACGTGCTGGGATGTGCTGTGCAAGGGCCTCCGTTCAATACGAGGGGGATCAGGCCTTAGTCCACCACGCTGGCCAAGTGCGGGTTGGTGAGCTTCACATTTCTTTCGAAATTTTGCTAGGTTTTCTCAGACATGCATGTTTCCTTACGATGTTTTCCTTCACCGTAAAACTAGTGGTAATCATGTTGAAAGTGTTTCGCACAGGAAATATCAGAGGTGCGAGACTCGGGATTTGAACCCGCTTCACTCGGTTTCCCAAGCGAGCGCCTTACCACTAGGTTACACTGTTTGAAAAACATATGGTGTAAGAGAATTTATTTTTGATATATTTCTAAGACAAATCCATACTTCCATACTAATTTTATAAATGTGAAAGTGTGTTTGTTTGTTTGTCCTCTTTTCACGTCAAAACGGAGTGACGGATTGGCGTAATTTTTTGTGTGGAGATAGTTGGAGGGCTAGAGCGTGACGCTACTCTTTACCGCGAGAGCGCGAGATTCTAAATCCCTCGGGAAAACACATTATAATACAATGCAAAAAAATATTTATGATCATAATTACTTGAAACTTAGTAAACTTGCTCTTCAATAAAATTAAATAAATAAATGTTTTACAATTTTTCGAAATTCATCGTATAAGGGGGTTAAATAGGGGATGAAAGTTTGTATGAAACTACCTTATTAGAGATTTTTTTGCAGTCATAGCGCGAGCAAAGCCGCGAGTTCTGCTAGTAGTCAATAAACTTGAACTTATTATAAGGCATTTGTGAGCGCGTCCAGCACGGATCTTAGGGCAGTAGCGTTTCTTTCATTCAAAATATAAGAAATTTCGCTAATTTTATCAAATTATTGGAATTTTATTAGACTTAATCAAATGATAACAAGGAATGTGATTGGAATATAAATTGACTGGGTAAATTCATCATTATTTATTGCTTCTTATTATTTAATTTTCATATTTAGATGATAAACGCTTATCCTGGTTGGGTAGATATAATAGCGATATAAGTAAATCACTTCTAAAAAATAATCATCCATATTAGATTTCAATCTGCGAATAAATCACTCGATACATAAAAAAAACGACTTCCAGGCACTAAAATGTAAAAAATAACTCAACGCCTCCGTGGATGCCAGCCAATGCAAAGCCAATCTGATATATTTTGATACGTAAAATACACCTCCTCCTTTTTGAAAGTCGGTAAAAAATGACCTATTTGAAGTCTGTCAAAAACCAGAGATTAAAATATCGTTAAAGGGAAGTGGACGTCGTTTTTAACCGACTTCCAAAAAGGAGGAGGTTCTCAATTCGTCGGAACCTTTTTTTTCTTTTTTTTATGTATGTTTACTGATTATTCGAAGACGCCTGCACCGATTTGGATTTTTTTTTGTTTCGAAGAATATACTTCCCAGGTGGCCCCATTTAAATTTTATCGAAATCAGTCAAAATCATAGTTTCAAGTCAGAGCATTTTTTTTTAAATTAAAAAATAAATATATTTTTTAAATAAATTGCTTAATCGAATATGTTATTAAAACACTTTCTTCTTACAAATTATCTGCTTATTACGTCTACACTAAAAATGGAAAAATAAAAACATAATAAAGAATACCGACTTCCAGGCACTAAAATGTAAAAATATCTAAACGGGGGTTTTCATACAGAATAGATACCTAATATGCCTTTCTAAAAGAAGTAGTAAAAAAATATATTTCAATCAAACTATCGTCCGTAGCATCGGAGAGGTTATTTTCCACTACTGGATTGATTCAATTTACTAATCGACAACAGATTGACACCCGACAAGCTTAACAATCATTTAAAATCCTTAATTTCTTCAGCAAATAATTTTTAATTTAGTTTATGGTATGTTCAATATTATGCTCTTTTATCAATAATAGTACGTTTTATTAAAAAACAAAATTAATCGTAAACGAAATCGTAACCGTCGATTAATCATTAAGTGCAATAATCGTAATCGCTAAGTGATAATCGTTTGATCACTAATTTCAATATCGTCAACAACGAAATGGTGAAAATCCAAATTAAAAATGATATTTTATCTAAGACACCTACATAACAAATGACTTACCTTTTAAACTGTTTGTTCACAGCCAACAAGCTGGAAGTTGATCTTTTTAAGCTCTGCATATTTTTAGACGACAGGTAATTAGAATAATTCACTAAACACTAGATCCATGGCAGTCCTAACAGTAAAAAAAAAAGTTTTTTTAAAATAAATCGTCTGTTATCAGTTTTTATTAGTAGATAAATATATGTATGTAGATAAAAGCCGGTGACGTCGTCGACGAGTTTTTTTAAGTACGTAACCTTGATAGTCGATACGTCATTAATACAAGTTTGGTGTGTAAACTTTGATGAAATAAGAATAATAGTTGTATATGTTACATAATTTCATTAAACACCGTAATAAATAACCGGTAATTTAATATAATCAACGTTATGTCTATAGGCTAAGCGTGGGTGGGTCACATTAGGGGTTTGTTTATTGAATTAAATTAAAAAAAAATCTTTATATAAATTTAAAAATTATAGTCGGATTCTGTATTCTAAATAATAATTCTTCTGAATTTAATAGACGATTGAGATAAAACGTACGATCCAATCGACTAAATTGAATTCAATTTTTTGCCAATACCTATTGTCGATATATAATATTCTCCAGACCTTACTGAAAGCTATCTAACTGAGACTGGTCATGTGTGACCGAGATATCATAGTGCAAAAGTGTGTTGTGAAATACAAATGTACGTTATATTTCCTACTCAAATTTCACATCTCAAAGTCTGGTCGGTCAATTTGACACGATCGGTGAGAAATTAAGAGCAGAATTGATGCCTTTACGTATTCTTTAAAGCATATGAGTGAACGGTCTCCAAATTTCAAGTTCAGGCAAATATTTAGGTTGTTTTATAAGATAAACTCATAAACAATACTTATTCATCGTACAAGACTGAAAAATTGAGGGAAAATATAGTTAAAAGAATTTTATTTTCTATGATTAATAGTTGAGCTCCTAGAAGACCTTGACTGTACGAGATGCGTGTATTATTCAATTAGTGGTCCAAGCGCGTATGTACTACATTCATAAATACTGCGGATGTTTCGTTACGTTGCTCACAATATATGTTTACTTGTACATAATTTTTTTCTTCTTATATTTTTGATTTAAAATTTTGTACTACACGATAAATTGTATTATTTATCGCTTAATATTTCTATAATTATTTTCAAATATTATCTTTGAGGTATACTTTAATATTAAAATTTATGAGATAAGCTCTAGAATTTCTCAAGAATAGTGGTACGAGAAATGAGTTTGACCGCATTTTTAAAAGCTTTCCTTAGTTCCAATATACTCGGTGCATAAAGTAGTTTCTATATCCGAAGCTTTTTCTACAACGAATATAAAAATTACGGTGCCTCTCGTCTGGAAATATTCTAATATTTTAGATCTATACTTCTACTCGTAGAGGGAATTTTAATATCTGGCGTTTGTATTTTTTAGGAAACTTGAATTTCGTAATTAAAAAAACATATGCCGAATATTTTTAGACAAGAGTATATTGAACATTAGCTTTATACTTCAATTTTCCTTATGTTTTCTGCGCATTAACCATTAAACACCACAATCACTAAAAAATAGCTGCTCCAGCCCTACATCGCTAGCTTTTAACACCGCCTTTTTTTATTAACAAACATTAATGATTTTATTAAATAGCAAATGAGATCAAAGGCACCGCACGGAGAGCTGATGTGCATAATTAGCCACCGTAATCTTATAATATAATAGTATGAGAATAACAACAAGGTACATTTCTTTGTTGATAACAAATTTGGATGTTACACACAAAAGTTAACTATACGCCCATAGAATATTTCAAATATTTTGATATTTAACTTAAAATTTTAACGTTGACTTCAAGAAAAGTGTCAGATACAGCAGAATTTAAATTAAGTGCATATTATAATCTGCGATGCAATTAACTAGTAGCCAAATATTTGATAAACAGCATGAATGGTTTTAATTAAAAAGCTTTAAATGTAGAGCGCTAGGAACTCAAATGGTTTCAAACTAAGAGTTTTCGATTTTATAATCAATATAATATTATAACCTCGAGTGTTTGGACAGTAATAATACATAGTTACAAAATTCTAAAATGGTTTAATGCTTGTTATTCTTATAATTTTGCACATCGCTCGAAGAATGAATTTTTATGAAAGTTATCAAAACTTAATGAAATTAAATAACTTAATGTACAATCGACTACGAATATATGCAATAATATGGCCAAATAATATTTAAGAATGGACATATCGCGTAGGACATTTGTAGAAAAGGGCAGGAAAATAGCAAATGATAATCACATAAAATTTATTTGATAAAATATATACTAAAATAACTCCTCTAGAAGAAGCTCATTGCGTAAATAACACTTTTTAAACATTTTTTAAAAAATTAACAGTGACATTCATTAAACATGAAAAAATTAAAAGTTTTTATTTTCTGACATGATACCATATTTATCATCAAGCAAATATAAGTACATATTTATGTATATTCTTCAAATTCATTTAAGATGAATGAATATCAGGACTAGACCAAAAAAAAAACCAACGTCTAACAAAAATTTCATAATTCAGTTTAATTTTTAATAAAGTTAAACATCTTTAAATATAAAGTTAAAAGGTCCAACAATGTAGTTGAGGGAGGTTTGTTTAATCTCTAACGGCGGCCCGAACCATTCTATTTGGAAATTCTCGATGGCCTTTGCGAGGAACGTTTCTAATTCCAATTCGGCTATACGTCGACCTAGAAAATGGTACAATTTCATAAAGACACAGTGTCTGGATAAATGCACATTTCAAACGAAGGATTACCCTGGTTTTTATGTAATCAATAATAGCTGACTAAAGTTCTAGCCAAATGTCATATTATAATGAATAAAACATTTAGTTAATATAAGTAGATAATAACGCTAAAAGTTTCATATCTAAGTCTAAAAATACTGTCACAGTGTATATATTATATTATGTAAGATCCTCGACCCTCATCTCTCTTCGACTTTTGGGTAAGAATATATTGCGACATCATAGAAATGCTTCCTGTAAATATATAAAAATTACTCAAGTCTAAGTTAGACTCATGCACCAAGGGTACACAAAATATTTGTGTTATTTATTTATCATATTTAAAATAGTAGTAATAGGTTAATATCCGAGTCAGATTCACACTTGGCAGTTTTTATTATTTCTTTTATTATTTAGTCTTTGTACAAATATTCATACAAAGTTAAACGGTTATGTTTATTATCATTTTATAAACAAAAAAAAAAAAAACAAAAAGTATCATCAGTTTTTTGTCCACCTTACTTTTTATTATTTGTTCGGCGTGTTAACTTACTATTCTGAAAAGTTTCAATTACATCTTATACATAAAGGAAACCTTTAAAGAACAGACGGATGGTTTGATGACTGTATACTAGATTCCCGTCCGGACCTAGTGATGTACTTACTTGTCACTTTATAGGTGGGCAAAGTTAAAATATTTCGCAACTATTTTTATAACATATTTTGCAGGTATTCATAAAGATAAATCTTTAAAGCATTAGGAAATAACATTACCTATACAACTCCTAACTCCAAAACCGAAGGGGCTGTGTGCGAACGGATGAGCATTTCCATGGTATAGTGGATCCTCTTTATTAGCCAGCCATCTTTCGGGTATAAATTCTTTTGGCTTTGGATAGTGTTCCTCCATCAAAGACAACGATTGATGGGCAAATGTCACATACATCTGAAATATTTTTCGATTATAAAAACGTACTTAGTAAACCTTACTAATATTATTTTTATAAAGATACTAGCCACTCACGCTCGCTCCGTTCGGGTTCGTCTCTAGTTACCTTTTAACATTTAGTATAGATTTCTCAGAGATGAGATATTTTCCCGTAGTAAAAAGTATCCTATTTTTTTTTTTTAACGTTGGGAAATGCATTTACGCACGACGTGTGGGACTCACCGGCGTAATACAGCCAGTACTACCCACTAAAACCCAATAAAACCTTCCCCCGTCTGAATGGGGCGTCGCAGGATCGCTTACGCATTCAACTACGACGCCCCGACGGCAGGTCTGCCGAAGCAGACCACCACAACCATGGGGTTGCTCCACAGTCCACTCTGCTATCAGAGAAGTACCAGGAGCAACCCGCATGGTACACCGCCCCCCGAAGAGGGCCACCTCCCACCGCCCACAGAAGTGGGCAACCTCCCTGTGCGTTTCTTAGCTTCGCGCCCGGTTGGATTGCCGGGCACTACTGAGCCCCCCCACCACGACAAGGTGAACGCACGTTGGGGGGGAGTAAAAAGTATCCTATATGTTGACCCTAGTAAACTATCATCAGACAGATAGACAGACAGACTAAATTCTAATAACTATAGTTTCGGCCTCTGTATCGATAATAATGACTATTTGGATAACATTTTTCAAAAAATATTTAATTTACAGATTTGACTCAGTTATAATTTTATTATACAGGTGGTTGGAATATTGACGTCCAAAAATTAAATTTAGGTCCGTCGTATCGTAAGTTATCCGAATCACCCCCATGTATGTTACGTGACTTTTCATAGTTTATGATTTATGAATTTTTGAGAATTTTCAACCTGACCAACTTAAAAAAAAAAAATAGAAGACTGTCGAGATTTGTTTTTTTGCAATTGAATCTTCATAAGTAGAACTTTTATGAATAAAAATAATCAGCTTTGTAACTGTGATGAAAGTGTTGGTCAAAAATGACAAAAATTACGTTCGGTCAATTATGACTTAATTTTTTTATTTTAAATAAAAAAAATCCAAAACATCGACTTCATGGTTTCTAAGTGAACTTTAGAATGCACCAGACTCTCAGCTTTTACAATCATTAAAAAAGTAGTACTTATTGGGACTACTTTGGCTAAATCGGCCTTCAAAGACAGCGAGGTGGAAAATTCTTAAAATTAGCCATCTGATTAAAAATAATTTTTTTTGGTCGTTTTATCGTTCCTAAGGTTAATTAGTTTGTTAACTAATCAAAAATGCATATAGGAAAGCTACGATTTAAAAATTTGGAGGTTTATAATTTTTTTAGTTTAATTTAAATTTAATGAATTTTACGCGATCTCGCGGATCATGTATTGTAAACGTGGGCGCAACTCTTTTACCTGCAAGAACAATGGAACGAGAAGTCATGAGACTGAATTATTGCTTTCTCTCTCAAAACCTTTTGTAAATTTTAAAAATAAATATTTTTTTCACATTAATCTGTTTTATCAACAAAACCACTTTTTACTTAAAAGTTTTCTTACCCAACCTCTGAAGCTATTTATTGGTTAGTTTACAGTATTCTTATCATCAATTAACCAATGTCTATAGGTATAGTTTCAAAAATAGTCGATGTCTATACGTACGCCTTTAGGTATTTTATAACCCATTATATTGTATTCTTTAGTAGTCGTCCTCATGTTCCCACTTACAACCGGCATCATTCTCAGAGACTCTTTAAGGCATGCTTTAAGATATGGTCGTTTTTCTTGGTTCGACATTATCTCTTCTCGTAGTTTATTTTGCTTTTCTGGATTTTTAGCCAATAAATAAAATGTCGCTATGATAGTGTTAGCAGCCTGCAAAAATATTTACTTAACATGTTTTGTATTTTTTATACAATAATGTCAAGACAATTAATTTTAAAGTTAATATTTCACATTTTTATACCAAACAAGTATTTGTAAGCTGAGAAAATGTAATATTTTTATAAAGATGAATAAATTTAATATACTCGTATGTATGTTATGGTACTACTCACAGTATCTACTCCAGCAAACAGCATATCACTTGCCATAACGACTGCGACTCTTTCATCGATTTCAAGTAATTTTTCTAACACACTCTTTTCTTCGTTAGGGGACGTCTTTTTATTTTTGAGGTTTTCCATGGCTTTACGGATGAAAAATTGGCTTACTCTGAAATCATACCATTTTTTGTTAAACCGTCTTAAGCATTTTTTTTTGTTTTGTTCTCTGATATATACCTAATGGATAAAGGATTTCAACACTAAATTCTTAAACACAAAATGAGATGTTTGGTAAAATGGCTAAACGGAATTTGATGTAACTTACTATAGTTTGATTGGCTGAGTGAATTCGAAGACATTGTTCATGGTGCTATGGTTAACTATTGTAAATAAATAAAAATGTGTATGGGAATTAAGCTATTATTATTTGCTTTATTATACTATGTACTCACTCAATCTGATCGGCATAGTATTTCATTGAACGTTTGAAAGCTGGAGTGGGCATATATCGCCACAAGCTTGGTTTAAAATCTAGTTCATCAGCAGATTTAAATATATTATGGACGATTTGTATTAGTTTCCGTGCAGGAGAGTCTTCTGGTAAATTAGGGTCGAAGCAATTAATACGGCCACCAAGAGCTACTACTCCAATAGATTCTAATGCCCATAAGTTCATCTCCACATCTATTTTACCTTCTATCATATTTTTTTCGTTACGTTTTGATCTCATTCTAGAAAAAATATTCTATTTGATAACTAACTCACTATTATTTTATAAAATGTATTTAAAAATATTATTATGAAGAATTATGTATAAACCTTTTGACCATATCTTCAGCCACTTCATTAAGAGTACTGCTATATAATTTGATAGTTTTGGGTTGCAGCAATATAGGATTCACTGTAGACCGAAATTTTTTCCAGACCTCACCCTGGCTAAAATATGAACCCAAATATTAAAAAACGTATATATTTTAATTTAAATATCGATAATATTTTGTCTCTGACAATTTATACATGTGCATGTAGCAATTTATACACATTACTCTGAAATCAAGCCAGTCGGCGTATCAGGAAGGTCGTCTTCTTTCTTGAAATGTTTCGTACGAAAATAATTCAGCGATTCGAATCCTGCTCGTATTGGCATCCAATTTTCACCACGAAGAATCTGCAAAATATTTCATATTTAATTGTGTAATTACTAGCAACATATCCTCATTTTACTTAGGACCTAACTGCACTACAACCACAATGCAAAAGACATTTTTTTTAATAATAGATGCTTGGGATTTAAACGTGCAACCCATAACAAGCCTAATACTTTCTTAGATTTACGCGAATATTTGACATTTTAAATTAAACTATCTTTTCGAATTTTTTTGAACATATATGATTCTAACGACTCACCCTCGCTCTGCTCGGGTTCATCCCTAGTTACGTTTTAGGCGTTTAGTATAGATTTCTCAGAGATGAGATATTTTTTAGCAGTAAAAAGTATCCTATATGTTGACCTGGATAGCCAGCTATCATCATATCAAATTTCATTAAAATCTGTCCAGTTGTTTTCTCGTGATGCAGTAACAGACAGACAGACAAAAATTCTAAAAACTATAGATTCGGCTTTTCTATCGATAATAATGTCTATTTCAGTAAGATTTTCCAAAAACTATTTAATGTATAGATTCGGCTTAGTTATAATTTTATTATATGTATAGATTTTGAAATAAATCCGCGCAAAAATCAGAAAAGATAGTTTTATTTAAAACAACAAGAATATTATAGAGTAGGTAGTTTAGAATATAATAATAGTTAGAATGAACGTATAATAATGCGTTAAGTTTTAACAATTTAAATATACTCACTTGTGCTGAACCTTCTGCATCACGGAGTAATATTAACGTGGGCGATCCGAATTGACCGTCAAGTTTTACGATTGGTCCGTATTGCTCGAATAATACATCTGCTATAAATTTTCTATGGTGGTACAATGATCCTAAAAGTAATATTACAATACTATTAAAAATGTGTTATGTACATATTATGTTATATGTTTGTTACTCCTTCACAGGAAGACTGGTGGGCGGATTCGGATGTTCACAGATAGACTATATAATAGGCCAGCAGTCACACATACATAATATGTAGGTTACTGTTAGTAATAACATTTACCAAAAGTTAGCGCTACGAGCCCAATGAGAGTAAGTAGCTAGTTTTAGATAACTTTAATTATTAGTACCAACCAATTCTTATATACATAATATACAATTTAAATGGTTTCCCATAACTCATTGATTTAGTTAATGGATTTTCTATTACCAATATGGCATATTTTCAATGGCAAATATCAAGATTGTTGGGATGAGTTAAAAATGTTGATAGATAACTAGATAGTTTAATTAACTAACAAGAGTAATTAACATATTTAAAAAAAAACTTTAACTTTAGAGATTTTAAGGAGTTTCCTTAATATAATTATTAATAATTTGAATGAATTCTAAAGTAGAAAAAGTTAATTTTCCATATATAATTCTATATATTATAATCTGTACATAATAATTTTTTACACACATATGGACATATCAGTATATTAATTACATCATTAAAGTGCTCTTATATTATCTAATTATAAATAAGTGTCGCTTATCTTTTTATCATTAGCGTTAATAACTTGATAAACAAAACATTATGTATATGATTATTATTTATTATAGTTTTTATTATAACACTAGCTGCAGTATTCGGCTTTGGTTGCGTTCGAATTCCTTTTACTGTATGAAAGACATAATATTATACGCCGTAAACTTTTGTAATGCGTGATTAAACTGACAAGACCTCTTCTATTACATCCCAAATGTTCTTAGATCCAGAATTCTTATTTCATTTTAAAGTATTCATAGATGTACAGAATCAAGATGTTGTATTGTATATGAAAAATCAAATATAGCTAATATTTTTTCTAAAATAAACTGGCCTTAGTGACTCCTTATAACATCAACTACTCGTATCTGCCAGTGTAAGTCTCGTCAAAATCTTCAATTTTGTTTATATGTAATACGTAAAAAATGTATAAATGTAAAATATATGTAATAAATGAGACTACCTAGATGTGTCAATAAAAACAATACCCATGCGGGGATAAAATCTTATATTCTTATGTCGAGCAATGCCATCTATGAATGCTTTCTATTGCACTCTGACAGATTCTTAGGTGTGATTTAGCTTTTCCGTTATAGTAGTAAGTAATACCCACAAATTGAAGTTGAGTTCTCAATTCTACGTATTCTCATATACAACTCGTAGATTACGTTTAGTGGCTGTGAATTAAGAAGTTATTAAAATAAAAGTTTTACTATGTAGTTTACCTCCAGGAAGAAAATGATGTATCTGTCCAATGAGCGGTAAACTTGATGGACCAGGTATCTCGCGCCATGATTTCAAGGCTTCGTCATTCGTCGCGACAGCAGCATTTATTGTTACTGACCTGTAACTGTGCTTTTTTGTAAATTATCTCATTGACTCTTTAAAGGACAATGCACAGATTAAAGCACTGGATTTACAAGCATGACATTTTGCACAAAAAATCTTTGTACAATAAAGGTGAGCAAATAATAAAGCATTTTTTAAAAAGAAGTTAACTAACGTCTTTGTTATTTAAAAAATATTATATTTAAACACTAGACAGACGATAAGGCATACATTAAGGAAAAGATTGTATGGGGAATTATTTCTCAAGTGAGGGATATATATATAAGGGATATATAAAGCAGTGGTAGGCCAATAGGCAGTGGTAGCCCAATGGTACCGCGCTCGTTTGGGAAACCGAGTGAAATAGGTTCAAATCATGAGTCTTGCACCTCTGATAATACAGTGAAGGAAAAACATCGTAAGGAAACCTAAAGCTGAACCTGAGTCTGAGAGAACCTAGAAAGTTTTCGAAAGACATGTGTTGTCTGCCGAACTCGCAGTTGGCCAGCGTGGTGGACTATGGCCTGATCCCTCTACGTATTGAAGGGAGGCTCATGCCCAGCAGTGTGGCGTTAAAAAGGGATGAATACAAGGGATATATATATATATATATATATAGAGGCTAAATTTTAGACGTATAGATATATATATATATATATATATATATATATATATATATATATATATCTATACGTCTAAAATTTAGCCTCTCCCGTGACTACTATAAAGCATTCGATACGTCGGGAACCAAAAATCAAAATAAATCTGCGAAAAATCCGAAAAGATAGTTTTATTAAAAACCATTATTCATCGTTTTATTTTTATTCATTAACTGATTAACGAATAAAATTATAATTTATTCGACATTCGAATAATTTTTCTTTAAATAAATGTAATTATTTATTATTGAATAACGAAAGAAACGATTTATTCATTCGTTATTTGAATAAATATTGCCCAATATTTATTCGAATGATGAATAAACGAATAATAATAATTAATTAAATCAGCTAATAGGTAGGGATGTTTAGGACTGGGGTCCATGAACATTCATAGGAAGATTTTTCTAAGGGAGAGTACTTAAGGTGACATCCACTTTGTCGGTGAGGCCAGGAAATTTCCAAATTGGGCATAAATGAAGAACAATTGCTATAATTAATTAGAATCCTATTATTGAGGATGTAATAGCAATTAGAGAATCGTTTTAAATGATGACATCAGTATTCCTTGTTATATTTTTACAGCTTTATTCTGTTTTAAATCTCTTTAAAATGTATCCTTAGGATGCTATGACGTTGTAAAAATAATAAGTTAAAAATGATACATACATGCATAAACAGTATAATTATATTATTATTTGTCATTTTATCTCAGTGGAAAATATAAAGCCTTTACATATATAGAGTTAAATACGTATATTACGGAGTCCGATGAAATACTTAATTCTCAAAGTCAAAAATAGTAGCGTGATTTGCTCTTTATGTTAATATTCTCGATTTAGCCATCAGATCTTTTAATTTTTTTAAAGAACAAGGGCAATTTTATATATCTATCTATTAGTCAAATTCTTACAATTCTTGAGAAAAATAATAATAAAATTAAAACTATATTCGTTAATTTATTTAATTTTATTTAATTTTTATTATAATTATAATTTATACTATACAATTACCCTTTGTATATTATTTAAAAACAGTATCTTTCCATGCAATGATTAAATACGTAACATGCCCTTTACAATGTTAATTATATAGTACAATATTATACATATTGTAGACATGTATACTGTATTTACCTGATTTTTCTACATATAGATATTTCCTTGTTTATGCAATATATATTTTGAAAACAAAGGATTTTTATTTTTTATTATTTTTAGTATAGATGCTTTGTAAAATAAGCGTTCGGTTGATGTTGAATTAATAAATATTACTAACTCCCATAGAAGTTATCTAATATTTAACTTATTAAAAATTGCATATATGTAATTTATATTATGATGAGAAAAATAGTACGCATTAATAAGTTTCATTAATTTTGTATGTGTGTATGTATGTTGTTATCTCTTCAAGCTGAAACTGGTAGATGGAGTTAGATGAAATTAAGTATCAGAAAAAACTACTTTTAGGCACCTATGTAATGGACTAAATATGGACATATTCAAGCGAAGCGAGAGTAAGCCACTTACTTGTACGCAAATATATAGTAATTTTTATCTTGTGTACATTGATGAGGTGTTTGTAGAGCTTGGTAGTACTTAGAGATATAATCAATATTTTCTCTCTAAATAATATATATTATATACTAGGTACTATCACATCGAACTATTATTGTAAATGTCAAAGTTTGTGTGTGTATGTTTGTTATTCTTTAACGCTGGATCGACTGGACGGAATTAGATGTAATTTAGTATACAGATAGACTATAACCTGGAGTAATACATAAGGTAATTTCAGTAATGAAATTTCCAAAATTTGGTCCTAGGCAAAGACTAGTTTTCTAGTGATTGAGTGCTTGTTATTTCTTTACGGCGTAGCTGTTCAACGGATTAGATAGCTTATAATAACGCTATATAGATACCTTGAGAAGGAAAAGTAATTGCTAATAATTAATTTTTCTTTGAATTACTTTTAACATAAAACAACCAACAAATCCTACATGAATTTAGTCACCGTAACATAAAAACAAGTAAGTGATACATGCTCAATGGCTTCGGATTACGAATATCGTATTTCGCAGATTACCGAAACACACTAATTGATGTATGAACGCCCAAGTGCGTGTACTATGATAATATCATTAGTTACTGACTATGTTATTAAGAGTTCTGGCCTCTGGGTTTGAAATAGAAAAAAACCAAACAAGAAGGCTAAGGTAGGAGCTACGCTACTTTTCCCACCCTATCCACTTTTCAATATACGTTATCCAAGTCAGGCCTGTCACGTAATGATACCTTCAGAGATAGCGTCCCATATACTAAGCTGCAGTCGAATAATACCTCAAAATCTATTGGGCCTAGGCCAAACTAGTTAAGCCTAAAGTATTTAGACTAAGCTAGATTGTTCTGGGCTAAACTAGTATAACCTGATGCGCTTGAGTGAACCGATTTGTCGTAGGACAAACCAGTTTGGCCTGAAATCGGGTTTGGCCGGTAACATATATGTATATACATACGTAGTACAATATACTTGGACGATAACGATAATAATTACTATTATAATTAGTATTTATCAAAAAAAGATATTTTATTTAGCGATAATGTCAACAACATAAAATGCTTACAAATGAAAGTCAATAGAACTTGCGTAAAAATAAATATTTTATTTTTATTTATTTTTAATTTAAAACATACTTTATATACTATTCTTTATTGCGCTTAAAAATAAAAATAATAATTAAAATATAATTTTTGTTTGCTAAGGTGGACTTATCTCACTAAATCATATACTGATTGTGGTAGTGTACTAATAAACTATAATATTATAAACATTTTAATTAGTGATGAAACGATAACGATTAATCGTGATCGACGATAATCGTAATTATATTTATCTAGCGATTGTTTATGACTTATATTTTCAAAGAAATTTAGTCCTATTGTTAATGTGACATACTTTTAAATGCGCATAATGTACATCTTTTGCTCGTGTGTGTGTGTTCAGTATTGGAAAGAAGTAATACAATAAAAGAAATAGCATTAAAATATCTTTCAAGCTAGTACCGAAGAGGTTATTTTGCACTGCTGGATTGATTCAAACTTAAAAAAAGTAAAAAAATGACGTCTGACAAGCTTAATAAACAAAAATTTAATATCCTTAATTTTGATTATTAATTCCTCAGCAAATAATTTTTTATTTAGTTTATGGTATATTTAATATTATGCTGTTTTATCGATAATGGTATGTTTTATAAAAAAAAAAACAAAATTAATCGTAATCGTAATCGTCGATTAATTATTAAGTGCAATAATCGTAATCGCTAAGTGTTCTAATCGTTTCATCACTAATTTTAATACCTTCAACAACGAAATGGTGAAAATCCAAATTAAAAATGATATTTTATCTAAGTAACATAACAAATGACTTACCTTTTAAACTGTTTGTTCACAGCCAACAAACCGGAAGTTGATCTTCTTAAGCTTTGCATATTTTTAGACGACAGGTACTTTGAATAATTCACTAAAAATAGATTTATGGATGCTAGATCCTACTTCGATCCTAGATCATTTAGATTCTAGATCCTAGATATCTATAGATACTAAATCCATGGCAGTCCTAACAGTAAGAACTTATAATGTGATATTATTGTGTTTTAAATAAATCGTCTGTTATCAGTTTTTATTTGTAGATAAATATATGTAGATACAAGCCGACGACGTTGTCGTCCACAAGTGAATGAATACAGTAAAGACTATAGAGTGTGAGTACAAGTTTTTTGAGGCACGTAACCTTGACAGTTGATACGTCATTAATACAAGTTTGGTGTGTAAACTTTGATGAAATAATAATAATAGTTGTATATGTTACATAATTTAAATAATCACCATAAAAACATAACTGGTAATCCATACATAATATAATAAAATTGTGACTAAGCCGAATCTGTACATTAAATATTTTTTTGGAAAATTGTATACAAATAAACATTATTATCGATATGGAAGCCGAATCTATAATTTTTAGATTTTTTGTCTGTCTGTCTGTCTGTTACCGCATCACAGAAAAACCACTGGAGGTATTTGGATGAAATTTGGTATGGTGATAGCTGGTTATCCGGGTCAACATATAGGATATTTTACTGCAGGAAAATGTCTCATTTCTGAGACAAAATACAAAAACTACAATGTAAGAGTATACCAATATGTAAAAGCCTAAGAAATTGGTTTTTGGTCATCAGAACGCGGGCGGCGCCGCGGGCAATGTTAGTTAATTATAACCAACGTTGTGTCTATGGTCTGAGCGTGTCGGGTCGCGATAGGGGTTTATTGAATTAAATTAAAAAAATATCTTTAAAAATTATTGTCGGATTCTGTATTCTAAATAATAATTCTTCTGAATTAAAATTTACATAGATGACTCAGATAAAACGTACGATCCAATCAACTAAATTGAATTCAATTCTTTGCCAATACCTATTGTCGACATATAATGTTATCCAGACCTTACTGAAAGCTATCTAACTGAGACTGGTCATGTGCGAAGGAGATATTATAGTGCAAAAGCGTGTTGTGATATACAAATGTACGTTATATTTCCTATTCAAATTTCACATCTCAAAGTCTGGTCGGTCAATTTGACACGATCGGTGAGAAATTAAGAGAAGAATTGATGCCTTTACGTATTCTTTAAAGCATATGAGTGAACGGTCACCAAATTTCAACTTCAGGCTGATATTTAGAGTTTTTTTATAAGAAAAACTCATAAACAATAATCACCCTGACTTGGGAGTCGAATTTAGGACCTGCATTCAGAATTCAGGGCATTTACAGTTGAATATGCTAGCTACTAGAACACAGGCATTTTTCTTACAAGACTAAAATGGAGGGAAAATATGGATAAAAGTGTTTTATTTTCTAAGATTAATAGATGAGCTCCTAGAAGACCTTGACTGTACAAGATGCGTGTATTATTCAATTAGTGGTCCAAGCGCGTACGTACTACATTCATAAATACTGCGGATGTTTCGTTACGTTGCTCATAATATATGTTTACTTGTACATAGTTTCTTCATTTTATATTTTTGATTTAAAATTTTGTACTACACGATAAGTTCTATTATTTATTGCTTAATATTCCTATAATAAGTTTCAAATATGAACTTGATTCATGAAGTTTTCATTAAAAAGCTTTAAAAGTAGAGCGCTAGGAACTAAAATTGTTTCAACTAAGAGTTTTCGATTTTACAATCAATATAATATAGCCTCGAGTGTTTGGGCAGTAATAATACAAAATTCTAAAATGGTTTAATATGCTGTATAGAATGCTTGTTATTCTTATAAATTTGCACATCGCTCGAGAATAGAATGAATTTTATGAAAATTACCAAAACATAATGAAACAATATAACTTAATATACAGTCGACCAAAAATATATATAATAACACGGCTTTTTCCCGCTACTCTTATATGTTACCCGTTTTACGTAATCCTAAGAATTTCTGGCTATGAATCTAGGAGCAGTCAGCAATATATTAGCAGAGTAAGTACAGTTAGAAACTAGTCACGATAAAATTAGTGCAAAACTTTGTGAGTAGGGAAAACACTGTGAGGAAACCTGCATGTCTGAGAGAACTTAGCAAGTTTTCGAAACACGTGAAGTCCGCCAACCCGCTCGTGGTCAGCTTGGTGGACTATGGCCTGATTCCAATCGTAATGAAAGGAGACCCGTGCCCAGCAATGGGACGTTAAAAAAGAGAAAATTTTGTAAGTAGTTGTAGTGTAGTGCCAGTGTACTGTAAGTAAAACTAAAAAACTAGCTGCTTGCATCAGCTCTCCGTGCGGTGCCTTTGATATTATTTGCTACTAGCATTGCCCGCGGCTCCGCCCGCGTTCAGATGATCAAAAACGAAATTCTAGGTTTTACATATTAGTATACTCTTACATTGCAGTTTTTGTATTTTTTTCTCTATAGATTCGGCCTCTGTATCGATAATAATGTTTATTTGAATAAGATTTTCTAAAAATATAGTAGTAGTGTAGTATAGTATAGATCGATAAGTAACAACTTACATACATATGTGCATAAATTTTGTATATGATCTGTTGCCGTTCGGAAGCAATTATAATTAGCCGTTTAGTTATAAGTCGCTTAGTCTAGTGGCTAGCACATTATATTTATAATGGTTTTTTTTTCAATCCCGGATCGAGCCAAAGGCAAATATTAGTATTTTCTACCGAATTTCAGTTAGAAGTCGGTATGTTATGTATATAGTTAGTATGTACATATATTATGTACATAGTTCTGGACTAAGTTTTATTTACTTAATGTTTAATATATGTTTTACCAAGTTTTATCAAAAATTAGCTTATTATTATAGGCTTCAAGCATTTTAGATATTATTTTCTTAAATCAATCTTACGTGGATTAACGCCTGTGTCTTATGTGGAAGCAAAAATTTTTACATGAAAATTAATAAAATAAATAAATAAAATAAAATTAATGAATTAAAGGATTTCTAGTCCGTAATAATGTAGGAAAAATAATAATAGCATACATGTAGACACGAAAGAAAAAATCGAAGAGACTAATATTGTAATTTAGGTAAAAGTGCCAGAATTATAAAGTAGAAATATTTATGTAAGAAACATTTTATTTATAGTTTTATATTTTTGTATTGCGTTTTATTACGTTCGCTAACATGTGTATTCTATATTAAATATTTCCAGTGGATTATATAACTAAGTAGCGGCTCACCCTCGCTTCGCTTGGGTTCGTCCCTAGGTACGTATATAACGGTTAGTATGGAATATATAGATTATAATAAATTATATTACTGATCCGCTTCCTTGGGTAGTAGCATGATGATATATAGCCTATAAGCCTTGCTCAATAAACGGGCTATCTAATGCAAGAAGAATTTTTCAAATCGGATTTGTAGTTCCTGAGATTAGCGCGTTCAAACAAACAAACAAACAAACTGCCTCTTTATAATATTATAGTAAAGATAAAGATTAAAATAAAAGTTGTGTTTTATTTCTAGAATGAGAAAAATATTTATTTATTTATTTATTTAGAATTACCAACAAAAGTTACAATAATAAATTACATATAATTTCGTTACTATAGAAACATGATGATTGCACTTTTAATTAGAGGTAATTACAGCATGCTATTAAATTAGTACAACATTAACATCTTAAAGGACAATAAAAATATATACAATTACACACAGTTAATAAATTTTTGTACAAATAAAATAGAACAATTAATTAAAAATTAAATATACTATAGATTAAATTGTGAATTTATTATATTACATATAGGGTGATACGATGAATGTGATTTATATAATTGAGGAATAAAGAAAGAGTATGAAAAATTCATTACATTCCATTCAATTAAGTATACTCAAAATTTTATTTTTAAAACTACCTATCATGGCTATCATGCAAGATGTCAATTCCCTTTTTTAACGATATATCATTGTATGTGCGTGCTAACCTATTTAGAGGCGTATTTTTGCCTAAGATGGTCCTATGCCTCTTAGTACGAAAGAGAGGGGCATGTTTCCTTGGAATCCTTACGGGTATGTTAAAGTCGATTAAAGCGAGCAACGGCGGGCAATCAATTGCATTATTTAAAACTTTATGTAAAAACATCATATCCAGTACCTTACGTCGCGACTGTAACGAGAGTAGACCCAAAGATTGCAATTTGTTTTCATAACTACAATATGACTGAGGTATTTTAAAGTGGTATGTCATAAATTTTACGAATCTTTTTTGTATTTTCTCAATTCTGTTTACATGAACACTGTAATGAGGTGACCAGACTACAGAGCAATACTCCAGCTTACTTCTCACAAAGCAATTAAAGAGTGTTATAACAGTTGAGATTTTTTTAAACTCTCTTGCATTTCTAAGAACAAACCCCAATGATTTGAGCGCAGCACTCGCTATACGCTCAATGTGAGCAGCAAATTGTAATTTGGAGTCCAAAAAGACACCCAGATCACGAATAACGTCAACTTTACAAATAGGAGCACCAGATATATAATATTCGCTTTTTATCTTATGTTTTTTTCGTGTGAACTGAATATGATAGCACTTTTTCGCATTCAAATACATATTATTGTTATTGCACCAATTACATAGTTCGTCCAAATCTTTCTGCAGACACATGACGTCTGAGTACGTTTTAATCTTGCGTATCAATTTAAGATCATCTGCGTACATAAAGACTTTAGAATATTTAAATATAGACGCAATACTATTAATAAAAACGTTAAAAAAGACAGGACCCAGAATTGATCCCTGAGGAACTCCAGAATATGCAGATTTTTCTGTTTTACGTATGAACACACGGCCGTTTTTGACGATATTGATTGATACCGTTTTTGATATATAAACAAGACAAAAATAAATACAAATAATCGTTTAACTATGTATGTATATAACATTACCTATCTACTATTAAGGTTTTAAAAT